AGCAGTTGGTGTCTTCTTACGGCATGTGACTCTTCCTCCCTCACCTGCTGTTAACCTGCCTTTCTTAACAAGGAAAATATCTATCGCTGTTTCTCTGTGGACATTGTGTGGAAGCTGGAGGCAAACTAGAATCCAGTTCCTCTGCTGTCCCAGGAGGTAGACTCTGTAGTTAAGCAACTAGTTCCTTTCCTGAATTTGTGAGTTTTTAAGTGGCTTTCCTATCATCTGACTAATACAGACAGTAATAACTTAAGGAACTTTGACTTGCTGTAGTTGTTGAAAATAGAAGGAAATAGGATCCTTAAGATTCTCAAGTATATACAGTAGCAGTTTCTAAATCCCTCTGTTCTGTCAAAGATTTTTAATACAGCCAGGAACAGATCCAAAGCTGAAATCTGGATGAGCAAAGAGGAAATGCCCCACAAGCGAGCTTACCATGCAGACTCATAATGCTGGTGCTCTTTTTCCTCTCTGTATATATGTGTATCTGTAAAAGGCAGGTCACTTTTTTTTACGTTTCATTAAGTATGGGTACTATCTCCTGTGTTTCGCAGAATCCTGTCATTTCAAGTTGTAATTTTGAACTTAATGAGTATGTTGGCAACTGCTATGAGTCAGTGAATTGAAGTCAAATTTAGCAAGTTTTTGTATTGGGGGACTTTGGCATGCGAGGTGAATACTAGCGGAAAAATGCGAAAGACAAATATTTGAAGAAGTATGGTGAGTGAGCCCCTGGGTGTGAAGCACTTTGAACATTAACCTGAAAAAGTAGTCATGGCTTCTTGTTGGGGGTTTGTGTTCTGATCTTTTTTGGTGCAGTTGGACAAGATGAACGGTCAGAAAGTATTAAGAATTTGATAAAAAGTGGAAATCGCTTAGCAAGGACATGGGGTAAGGTTTTGCAACAGATGTCTTAAAATACCTTGGCTGTGTATCTCGTGGATGAACAAGGGTGTTCTAGTGCCTTTGGTTATAGAAACCAGGTTGTGCCTTTGGCTTGCCTTTTTGTCTGTGTCTGAATTCCTGTTGGGGTGATTCTGAGCACTTCCATTTATGTGAGGAGGCATCCTGCAGAGTGGGGAAATGCTGTCTTGGAGCTCTTTGAGGTACTACCGAGGTATTGCTAGTTCGATCAAGCAGAAGACATCCTGCGTGATGTTACTTTAGCCTGAATTGAATATAGGGATGGGTGCCAGTACAGTACCTAAATGTGAATTTTAGTATTATCAAAGCTATGTGGAGTTCTGTGGTTATCGTTTCTGATGCTTGCTACTACTGCTTCAGATGATCAAGGTGGCAAGTGTTACGGAAATGTCTTGTATCCTGTGTAGTTTAAAAGCAAACCAAACCCACCCACACACACTAACAGCCTTGGAAGCCAAGCAAATGCTACCAGTTTTGGTTGGTTGGTTGGTTGTTTTTTCTTTGTTAGAAGTGAGGAATTATGAATGAGGTGATTCTTCCCCTCTTCGCAATTGTACGTTTTCTTCTAATAACATGGCAATCGTACTGGATCTTGCATTTACAAATCTGAGCTTATGTTTTAAGAACATCGCTAGGGAGAGTCATATGTCTCCATTGATGAAATCAGCTTCACACAACTTTTCTATCTGTTCCACAGAGCAGAATTTAACTAATTTTAAGCCCTGGGTCAGACTTTCAATGCAGGAAAAGACAACAAAGAGGATCCGTGCCTCTTGAAGATAAATAAAAGCAAGATCAGTTAAATTGATGAGATTTTGAGTCTTTAATTTCTGTAGTTATAAAGAGAAGCTAAAGCAGCTAATAATCAGTAAAGTTTGTTTAGGTATGGGACTCCTGTGTAATATTTTAGAGCAAATGAGCAATTTTGCCTTAAATTGCCAAGTATAGTGAAATGTCATTTCTTGGTGCAAGGTTGTATTATGCTTGGATCCCATGCAGTTTTGATACAATCTGGATACGCATTGTCTGTCATAAAGATGTCCTACGTTGTTTAATATATTGATCTGCTCTTTGCAGCTTCCTTTATGATTCTCATCTTTATAATCCAGACTACAAGAAATACTGCAAGTCATAGGAGTTCAGAATGTGCAAAAAGGTTGATTTGAATTAATGCAGAAATAATTTTGTTTTAATTAACCTTTAATGAAAGAGTAGCACATCTTAAATTGGTATGTGAAAATGTATGAAATGGAAGCAAAAATATGCAGCATATAGATTTTTTTTTTTTCCATGAAGCCAGTGTGTCAGTGACATGCTTGTCATGTGTTTTATTTAGAAAACAGAACAAAACAAAACCCTTCCGTACAATCAGCTGGAATTATTTGTAATCAACATACTTTTAATCGGTTTTCACAGGGATTTGTCAGTTTAAACAGTCTAGTGCAAGATTTGGTTCATTTTCTGTAGTTATAAAACTGGAGGATTAGCCTGGAGGGAGTTTACTTACATTCTTCTTAAGTTTGCTTTTGCCTAGACATCACTCCCTTGTATCACTCCCTTGTAACATGTATAGAAGCCTCATTTTTTGTCATAAGCAATAAACACACGCCATTGAAGCAGGGGTCAGTGTCATGTTGAGTAGGCACTAAGTGTTTGCTTTCTTTAAATTCCCTTTGCTGTTGTTGCTTGTGTTGTTAGCAAACTTATTACATCTTGCCTTTCCGTGATCTAACACCATGGTAGTTACAGATGTTGTGTCTTTTCCTAATAAGAAACAGAGCAGATGAGCAAAAACTAGCATTTCTTTCTTTATTTTCCAGTCTGTCCTTTCTTTATTGTATTTCAAAGGTAGATCCATGCGTTTAATCTCATGCTGCTTCTCAGCCTTTCTTAATTTCAAAGTGACTGGAAGAAACAAATATTGTAAGATAAGAAGGATTATAGGAAAGGCAGCACTTGAAAGTATTGAAACTGTCTTTGAGCTTGACTGTTGTGAAGACAAGTCTCGCTTGTTGGCTAGTACTGAAAATGGACCAGATTTCAAATCGCTTTTGCACGTAATCACTCCCTGTCTTTACTGCAGCATGTTTGTCCTGTTTGTGAGGGATGGTGGAACTCTTTAGTTTGTAAGGTTTTGAAGTAGGACCTGTTTTTCTAGTTTGTCTGGTAAGTAAAATCCTTCTAAAATAACTGCAATAGAAGGTGCTTCTCTCTATTGATCTATTGTTAAGTGAAAAAAATTGCTGTTGCTACCATCAGTAACAGCAGATAGCTTTGTAGGTCCTTGCTTTTAATGTCAGGTTCTGAAAGCTGCAAATGGATGCAAGCAAAATTTATTTACCAGTGAAACTAAATTTTTAAGTCTGAAGGAAGTTTGAGGATAAGATATACAGTGAAATAGGAACTGGTACATGCAAAAAGTTAAGAAACCAAAACGGATTCTGACTTATCACAGGCATCACTCGTAATCTTCATGATGCAGAGATGAAACTCTATTTGAAATAACCATTGTTGCTGAACTCATTTTTACCACTTCATCCAAAATGATTTCCTACTCAGTACACAGTGCAAAGTTCATTTACAAATTCACTTTTCCTGTCAGATTTATATGCATTAGTGATGTGTGTTCTCTCTAATTTAGTGTTTGGCATGTAGAGTGTCAGGAAAATGAATGATTAGCTCCGTTTGGGGAGAAGAATAAAAAGTGATAATGTCTTTATTTTTCTAATTTTAGGGTCTACTTACAGTGTGCTGTCCATAATGCCTTCTGATTCTGAAAGCAGCAGTTCTCTGAGTAGCATTGGTGAGTAAAGTATTAATCTAACAGCTTGATAAGCGTGTCCTTTGGGAGCTGGGAGAACGGGTTTTTAAGGTTCCCTTTGGGAAGCATAGAGTGATTCTGGTCATAAAAACCACAAGCTCTAAGATGTAAATGTGCATCTTTACCAGGAAAAAGTATATTCATTTAATGTGAGTTAAGCCCGTTCATGGCTGTATGCAGTTGCTGCTGATAAAATGTTACAGTTGGAGATATTGAATGATGTAACTGTGCATTGAATTATTTAGTGAAATGATGTAAAAACGACAGCGTTCGGCTTACACAAGTCTCTGCATATAAAAATACATATAGGCATGCATGTATGTGTATGTGTGTATTTATCTAGATGTGGAAATTGTAGTCAGAGTCAAAAAAATATAAATTAAAAATATTAGTAGCCAAGGTTATAGCCTTCTAAACTGTTAGAAGAGGCTGCAGGCCTTAACCCTTTTTTTCCTGGATGCGCTGAATTGTTTCATATTCTGTGGTTCTAATGATTCTGTGATTCTAATGAAAAAAACAAGCAGAAGAAAAAAAGGAAGAAAGAAATGTGACAAAAGCCTTCTAACAAGATGATCTTGGAATAGGTGTATTAGCTGTCAATTTTCCTCTACTTACATGAATGCTTTTATTGTGAAATCTATGTAGAAATCACTTGTCTTGGATAGAAAATGTAGGCTCTTGCATATTTAAAGTTCCAATGGTGTGTCAGGCTTCTATAGATTTCCCTGGCAGCATCAGGCAAGCCAGTTGTCTGTTTAAGGATGTGGATAGACATCTGTTTCAGTCATTAAGTTGAACTTTTAACTCCAGCGTGCAGGAACAAGATTTTAGGGTTGACTGAACTATTTGCTGAAAATATGGGAAGCTCTGACATGTTAGTTTGATTTTAATCAAAATCACACTTTATGCTATTACCTGAAGAAAGGTTATGATTTAATTTGCTATGAATGAATTGGGGCTGGAAATAGGAAGAAGAAAATTTGCAAGTTTTTAGGACAATCAGGTTCAAAAAAAGGAGCCTTCCAAAGAAGGAAGTTGTTCTAAGGTGAAATCCAGTAAGTCTGCTGAATAATTGGATGAAGTGATGCCTGAGATAGAAGATGCAGGTGGTGCTTTCTAGTCCCATGTTCCTGGTTTCGAAAAAGAAAGGTACACTTAAACCTTTTTTTTCCAATTTTTGTAAGTCTGTAAATGCAAATACTTAATTCTTTGTACCTGACCTTTTATAATTTTGGAAGTAGGTAGGTAGGTAACAGCTAGTGTTTACCATCATGAAGGCAACTGTGACCAATTGCAAGCTACAGATAGCTGGCTTCTATTTTCTATTTTGTTTATGCTCTATGGTATAGTACCTGACGACATTCCTGTTTCTGAACACTTAGAATTTGGCATGTTACTTCCGAGACATACGTTATTCCCATCTCAGAGAATGGAATTCTTTCTGAACTATCTTTTGTTCATGTTTTCAAATATTGAAGTTCATACTGAATCCTGATCTGTGTATTTTACCCAAAGAGTTGTCCTTAGAAGTGTTTTGTGACTTTGGTGTGTGCACTGGTTTAGTAATAAACTAAAAATCGAATGGCCTGCTGTTAAACAAAACCTGTGATCCTGTATTCTCCATAGTTTTGTTTGATTCAAATTATTAAAGCAAGTTAGGTGTTTAATATTTAGTACATTAGCAGACGGGGGAATTCTTTGTTTGAAGCTGGCATATTTGTTTTGTAGTCTGGTTATAGACTTGTTATTCATGAGTATCATGTTTTTTGTACCTCTTGTTCTGCAAGAGATAATATTTTTAATATAATCAATAGCAAAATTTTTTTGCTTAATGACTAACATATCCTAATGGACATGCCTGCGAGTCACTTCAAAGCTGCAGTCAGATTATTTTAATACTGACTGATTTACCATCATAACTGAAACTGTTTCCATGCCGGCTCTCTTGAGGCTTCATATGACTTCTTTGAATGGAATCCCAACAAATACTGAGTTGCTATAGCATTTCAGGAATTTCACATGCATCCCGTCCTCCCCCCATTCCCATCTTACTGTAATACATTTTCACAAGGATAGTTCTGTGAAATGAATGCATCAGTGAAAACAAGGTAAATACCTCCTGGTTTGGAGACAATGCAACCTTTGGAGTATGTTCTGTTTGACCTTGATAGTTCTGTGTACACACACATATATTTAAAGGAATATTTTAATTTCCCCACTCACATAGGCTTTCCTTATGGGGCAGAAAAGGGATCTATATTGTTATTCCTGAGTTAAAAACACTTGTTTTCGTTAATATTTAATAAATTTTCATTGCCTTGCTTTCTTTGCTTGTGTTTGTCAAGCAGCTCACAAATGTATTTACACATTTGATCTTTCAGAAGAGCTGAGAAAGGTATTGGGCCCAATAATTAAACCCACATAAGGAAGCAGAGTCTAAGCACAGCATCTTCTAATTAGGAGAGATAATACAATCTTTCATTTGTAGTCTTTGGACTCCATAAAAGTAACTAGAGAAGGGTATGTCCATGTGCTTCATCTTTTCTTCCCAACCTTAATCACCCTAGCTATTGTTGGAGGTGGTTTCTGCTGCCAGCATGCTTAATTAAATGATCTTTTTCTGAAATACTTCCAAGTAAGCCAGGATGTTGTGAAATTGAGATGATTCTGTATGTTTTACAGCTATCCTGGGTTTCACAGTTTATTTATGAAGCTAATGTATGTAACAGTGGTCTTGTTTTCTAGAAAAAGACCTTGATCCAAGAACTAAGCTTGAACAGTGCTAAGACAACTGTTCTTAAAATATGGCTCAAAGAAAATACGAGTTCAGTGTCAGTCAAATAAATTTGAAGTTGTTAGGATTTGGAAAGGAAGAGAGAAAGATGAGAAAACATAATCTTATCACTGTTTGTGTGTCTGAGTGTTGGGCATATTTGCAGTTCTCATTCTCCCGTTGAAAGAGGACACCAAGTACAGAGAGCAGCAGCACAGATGTACTCTTAGAGCAGTTCCTGTGCAGGGAACAATTGGATACGCTGGGGTTCTCTCAGCCTTCAGTAATGTCATAGTTTTAATAAAAGAGGAAAGCAGGTGATGTGCAAGGTGTCCCTGCCCATGGCAGGGGGGTTGGAACTAGGTGATCTTTAAGGTCCCTTCCAACCCTAACCATTCTATGATTCTATGTTTAATGTGGCTAAGAGAAGAGTTTAAGGCTAGTCTGTATTGAGTACTCTGTTGTCATCCAAGCGGTTTTTTCTTTTTTCCCTGACTAGGTGGGCTTGCAGGGCGTGAGGGGTGCAGCAAGAATGAACTTCAAGCCTCATGTGCATGTGGTAGTGTAAGCAGTTGAGCGGAAGCCAGTTTTCCCACCGGTGTAGCAGCAGCGTAGCAGCTTTGGAGAAGGAACTCCTCTTCCTAGGTTTATCTGCCTTGACCATAGATCTATCTACCTTATTTCTTTTGCATCTGTATCTAAATAGAAGTAGAGTGACTAATCATTGATCTTTACATGTTGTTGTTGTGTATTTTCCTCACCATTCAGAATTGGTTTACTTGACAAGTTTCTTTTCTCTTGTGTGCTTCCTTCCTTTCCTTTCCTGTGTATTAACAAAGTTCATGCTGTGCATATAAAATAGGTAGTTTTGATGGAACTGAGGGCAAATATTCATTGTTAATTTCCGTAAGAGGTATGAGACGAACTGCTGTAATCCCTGCATCCCACCATTGTGCTTCAGCCCCACCTTCTTCCCCCCAGAGGAACAAACCCTCATTAAATTGTCATATTCCCTCTGTATTTCCTTTCTCTTTGCTCTTGGCTAATCACAAAGATTTTTGTGTGTAAATAAAAGCATCCTTCATCCGCCCACTCCCTGTGCCTGGCAGACTTTCTGAATGAAGCTACAATCCTGCATTTCTGACATCAGAATAATTATTTATGGAGATCCAGTGCCTGGCGTGCCAGGCACGGAACAACAGTGTCACTTAGGAATTGGATAGAAACCAGTAACAGAGCAATATGTGACAGTCACTGGCTAGTCTCCCACTTGACTGGTCATGATAATGGAGAGGAAAAGAACACAGAGTAAAGACACCCTTTTTTTTTTTTTTAAAAAAAAAGGCACGTTTGTATAGTGCACTCAGGCTTTTGACATTTATAATTTCGAAGATAAATGCTCACCAAACACTGAATTGGCTCTAGGTGGCCCTGCTTGAACGGGGTTGGGACCAGATGCATCCCAGCAGGTAATGTTCTGGACATGTAACGAAAGATGGAAGGCCTGTGTTTTGAAAGATTATATTTAGATGTATAATAACAGCCAAACATCACCCTACTTATACAATACTTCAGCCTAAAATCATTAAATTTTTTTGCTGTGGGAAGTAGTAACACAGTGTCTGTGCATCTGTTGATTATCTGCTGTACTTCCAATTTCTGTCTTTTTTAATTTTTTTTACCGTCCTTGCTCTTTTCTTCCAAAATCAGGCTCCTGTCTACCTTTTTACAATAGCCAGGCACGTTCTTATTCTGGCTTGTATCACCTAAAAAAGCCCCTGTGAACTGACTTAAAAGGTATGTTTTGAGACTCTTGATACCCAATACTGCTACAGCCTCCAGTAACATGTTACTGACCTGAGCAATGTGGTGTCCTGACAGGATTATATTACCTATCCTAATTCCATAATAAAACTTCAGAAATGTAATTCTTCCTCCCCTCCTTCATGCACAGTATTATGTTTTGGGGTTTTTTTTTGGTTCAAGACATGTTATTTGAAAGAAACCAGCAGCTTGCACGCAGGAGTGAGGCTGTGGCTCTGAGGATAGCCTGTATTACACTTTATCATGATAAGCTTTGAACAGAAAGGCATTGCATACTCTTCTATTCTTTGAAAATATACTGAGATCCTCTTGAGAGGGTTTTTGGAATGGAAGAGGACTTCCATCTTTCCATGTCTATAATTTCCTTCTTCCCACAGCCAGATCT